TATATATATATATATATATATATATATATATATATATGGATAATCTAAACTTCGCAATCCTTCCAATTACAAAGGTTCAAGATAAAGAGAGTTGTGAATGGTGGATTTATTAATTTTGTAGTTTATTTTTATAAAAATTTACTTTTATGGGGCAATTTTGTAAATATTACTACGAGACAAAAGTTATTTTTGTCATCTCTATAAAAGGTAAAGTTGAAATTTTAACTAAAGGACAAGGGCACTTATAAATAAAGTTACATGACATTAACTTCCAAAATGTCAATGTACTTTTTTAAAAATTTCAAATTTGCCCTTCCTTGATGGTAAAGTTACCTATTTAAATATTTTTTAATAAAAAAATAATGATTGTTTTGATAAATACACTCGTCGCAACCCTTATAACTTGAACCTTTGTATTTTGAGGGGTAGTTAACTCTAGACAAACATCTATATATATATATATATATATTGGATTTTGGTAATAGAACATTTTATGCCATGCTTCTATGTATTCGGCATACTTGTAGTATTTGTACGAAAAATCAGGATTGTGTAGTTTTTAGCCTTGAGCAGAATTGCAACCCCACTCATCATAGAAAAGCAATTTTTTGATCTGGATTTTTGAATATGCAATTACTCTAGTATTTTGTTGGTAATAATGGACAACAGAGATGGATCCTATGTCCATGAGGTTTGCTTCATCGTATTCTCGAGTTTTGACTCCATTGGTTGGATTCAAATGGTTTATTAGATATAGTGGAGCAAGTTTAATAGGGTCCATATTTTTATGGTGGTCATCGATGGTAGTATCCATAAGATATGCTCTTTCAATATATGCATAGCAAGGAAAATTAGGCCTTTGGTTTGGTTTTGATTGAGCTGGAGTATAGGCGGGAGTGGATGTATTAGTCTCTGGGTAAGTGTTTGGTGAATAGGAAAAATGGAAGGTGAAAGGGTTGCCAAAGGCGGATTCTCACCTTCAAATGGTATTATTGTCAGAAAGCATTTCTCATTGTGAGAAGAATTGCTACAAGAGCCCTTGAGAATAGGTGGATTTGACAGAGTATTATTTTTATTACCTGCAAAGAGCTGTAGTGCAAGTGATAGTGGTGAATCGTCGTTGGCGTCAGTGTGGCCCCCCCTGTAAAAATTCACGGGTGAAAAAATCAAGAAGAGAATTAGAAGACCCGGGAAGGTGTTCAATAGTAAAATCAAAAGCGGACAGGATAGCCTGCCAACGGGCAAATATTTGTTTGGCAACAAGATTTTGAACATCTTTTTGTAGAATATCTTTAGCGGCTTTGCAATCAGTTCGAAACTGTTGATTGAGAATATCACTTTGAAATTTAGTAACACAATGGACTATGGCAAGTAATTCTTTTTTTACCATAGAATAGTTTTGTTGGGTTGGATTCCAAGCTTTAGAGGTATACCTGAGTAGTTGTTCATAACCATCGATGCGTTGTTTGAGAATACCTCCCAATCCCAATTCGGATGCGTCACATTCAACTATTTTGAAAGCAGTAGGATGAGGAAGAGAAAGGCAAACTAGCGTTTTAACTTTTTGTTTGATTAATTGAACTGCTTTAGTCTGAATATCCGTCCAAGGTGAAGGATTCTTTTTTAATCTATTATGTAAGGGCTTAGAGTCTATAGCAAGATTAGGATAAAAATCACTAACATAATTTAAACATCCTAAGAACCTTTGAAGTTCTTTTTTGTCTAGTATTTGATCAAAAAATTTATCAGCAAATTGTATGGATCAATTTATAGGAATAATAGTGCCATGATGAATATTGTGTCCTAGAAACCTAATATTGGTTTTGAATAAAGTAATCTTTCTTACCGATACAACTAATCCACCATTCTGGACTGCATGAATAAAGTATCAATATGTTTAATATGTTCATCTATGGATTCAGAAAAGATCAAGACATCATCGATATAAACTATCATAAATTGATAATAAGCATTAAAGACATCATTCATTATTTTCTGAAATTCTGATGGAGCATTTTTTAAGCCAAATGGCATTACATTCCATTCATATTGTCCAAAAGGTACATTAAATGCTGTTTTATATTTATCTTGTTCTTGAATTTGTATTTGTCAATATCCTGATTTCATGTCAAATTTGAAAAAGATACAAGCATTGGCTACTCTATTTAATAAATCCTTTTTATTTGAAATAGGATATCTAATCCATTGTAATACTTTATTGAGGGGTTTATAATTAATGACTAATCGAGGAACTCCTCGTTCCTTTTCAGCATTTTTATTGACATAGAAAGCTGCACAACTCCATGGTGATGCGCTTGGTCTTATTAGCTTTTTTGTTTGGAGGTCAGTAATTTCTTTTCTACACATATCTAATAAAGTAGTATTCATTTGTATTGGTCTAGCTTTAGTAGGTATTTGTTCTTCTACATATTTATTTTTAATTTGTTGTTTTAAAGTACAAAGAAATTTTTCTTTATTGTGTAATTGACTTTTGACGTTATTGATTTCCTTTAATTTTGGTTTATGAATAAAATCAAAGTGTATTGGTACATTTTGATAATTCGAAGATATTCCTGTTTGATCGATTGATAAGGGATATAGTATTGTAAGAAATGGGACTCCAAGAATAACCGCTTGGCTTAGTCCTTTGACCATGATAAATGGTGTATTGATAAATTGGTGATTATTACAAACAGAAGCATTGGATAATTTATAATTGATAAAGAGTCTACTGCCATATGCAGTATTTAGGATCTGAGTTGTTTTGTCAAAATATTTTGTCGGTACTAATCCTTCATTGATGCAATTAAGGTCAGCACCTGAGTCTATTAAAGCTGATGTTTGAAAGCGATAATCTTTTGCTACTATTATAGTGGCTTGAACAACGCATTTTTGAATCATAATTTTATCTATCAGATTTATAGAAGGAGTTGTTATCAGAA